TAATGGGGGGGGGGGGGGTGTACTCATAGTCGTGCATGCCGTAGTCGTTAGACCATTGACCTCGCATCCCTACAAAGCCGGGACGGAGCACGCCGGGTTCTCACCGGACCAGGCCTCTGGGGGGGGGGGGGTGTACTCATAGTCGTGCATGCCGTAGTCGTTTGACCATTGACCTCGCATCCCTACAAAGCCGGGACGGAGCACGCCGGGTTCTCACCGGACCAGGCTCTGGGGGGGGGGGGGTTAAAATCCGAGCGGCCTTTCCGCATCCAAATCGTGACACAAGAGGGGGGCGGGATCAGTGACATCTGTGAAAGCGTACCGGTCGTTTGCGGGTACGGCACAACTTCGTTTAGCTTCGTGGCCGGCGATTCTGCTGTTGCTGGCGTCTGTATGTCCTAAATAGTGTACGCAGCCGGAGAAACATTTGATCGCCGCGACCGGTTCCCGTATTTGATTCGTTTCGGGTATGAGGGGAAGGCTTACAGCTGTCGTGAACGCACGATCGGCGATAGTGAAGAACTCCCGTAAACAGGGCGGGCGGGGAGACTGGTGTCGACGAATCACATACCGTATGTTTCTCGCTCACAAGATCCAGAGCGTAAGTGTGACAAAATTACATCAAACCCCCGTCGGACCGACCAATTTTCAAAAGCTCGAATTCAACCACTACAACGAAAAGGCGTCCAAGCCGAAACGACACGTGTTCGAGAGACATGCTCTAGGTTAACACCTCATAAACGCCACACGATTCGGCACCGAAACTTGCTTTCTCCTGTGGACCAATACATCGAGCTTTGAAAGTGGTCCGAGGGGGTCTGATATTCCCCGTCAACTCAGCATTTGCGATATTTACGCATATCCAGCATACGCGAGAATTTACGCTATATTACACGTAGAAGAAACCCGAGGTGCGTCCCGCACGAAAGCGACGCGAGAGAGGGTAGCGTCAGGAGCAGCAACGCCATCGTTTTTGCCCTCCGCAACTGAAAAAACTGTTCCGATCTTCGCTCAGCACCCCTTTGCAACACCCGTACTACTGGTCGAGCTGAACCCATGGCACAGAAGACAAGCACAGGGCGATCATCACTGGTCATGGATACACATTCCTGCAACCCTGTGCATGGGTCCAGGAAGCTCGGACCCGACGCGTTCGGTTTGATATGCATCGATGATCATGAATTACGTGCGACATAGGAGTACTGCACATCCTCCAAGCTAGAACCACGCTGTGTAATGATCGAAGTTCAAAGTAATGATTCTTGCATTAGTGAAAGAGCGCTTGACGCCCGTCCGCATTAACAAATCGGGTTCTGAACCAGCAACAACAATGATATTATCGCTGCTGTGGTTCTCAAAATCGACTTTTAAGCAATTGCCTGCCGCTTTCTCAAACGATGAAAACTCCGCGGCCAGGTGAAGGTAGGTAGTTCCCTCAATTGCTCTTCAGAATCTCCCCTTTTAATACCGGCTACAGAGTATGGGGTGGTCATGCCGGCCAGGACTCTGGCGGTTTTGTGGGGCGAGGGGTTATGTCCCCTGCAGAAACGCGTTCTTATTTTGTTTTGGAGTTTGGTTGGTGAACGCGCATGTACGTAGCCGTGTACTAGTTAGTTTCGATCGAAGTTTCACGTAGTCATGCACGGAGCGTTGACCGTGCCATTCGAATTTCGGGTTGGGTGAACCGACAGCTCCCAACGACATGTAACCACTACTGACGGATGGCGTTATAACCGGAGGTGGGCCTGGTGTGTAGATAGCATTCTGCTTACATTTTTGCTTACATGCGTGGCGTATGGAGGGGAGAAACGCCTCTTGAGTTGTGCGTTCTCTGACCAGTGCCGAACTTCGTTCGAATGACCGAGGAAAGGCCATAATGTGCTACCGCCGATACACGACGAGCAACATAAATGTACTTCTTGGCGCGGTGCCGTATTCTACCTCGCAGCAGCGGCCAAGTCCACCTGAACCAGTAGCAACCACACACAGGACCAAAGCCGACTCGAATGACCAACACCAGCAGTGGGAGACTGTCGGCGAAATCCGCTGAAAAAAACAAACACCACCGCAGAATGGCGAAGGTCAACATTTGAAGACAACACAACAAGGAGGGCAGCAATCACCACCACCGCCACGCTGAGCCAGATAATTGCTTCATGCGTGCGTGCCTCGGGCAAACAATATCTACCCTGAGTGGTACTGACCAAGTTACTCGAGTTTCGCCAACCTTCGGGACAAACGTCACCGCAGCTGGCGGGCGCTGCTGCTGCAGCAGTGCCAATGATATGATGATGCCAGCAGGCAGGCGCCAAAGAGAACAAAGAAAGAAGGATATATTGTAGGGGATTTGTCTGTACCCTCAACATCCGCACTCCCTCTCTCACTTATAGTCCAAAAAGAGAGAGGCTGGGAAGGAAACCTCGGCCCGAGGGCCGACACGGCAGCAGCTCATACGTGGCCAGCAGCAAGCAACCCCATTCGGAGTTGATGGATGGGTAAGGGCATATCTCGCCTCCCCTGCTGTTCCCCAAACTGCTTCACCTCTGAATCGCCGCAAGACAGCAGTCAGTGTGGAATCACATTTTACTGCGCCACGCCACCTCTTCTCTCTACTAGTGCACACCCCAAAAAAGGCAGCTGTCGGGGGACGACATCTAGACCGCCGACACTACGAGAGGTTTCAGGAGGGGGTGGGTGGGGGGGAAGAGAGCACGCTGGGCGTTGTTCCCGCGACCACAGCAATCCCAATGGTTCATAATAAAAGAGAACGTTTTTTTTGGGCAGCATTGGTTCAGGTTTACGCCCGCCCGCCCGCACGAGAATTTTGGGACCACGTTGTCGCGAGAAAACTTATACCACTTGCGGCGGTGAAATCGGCACAGATTAAAAAAATGAACGACGAAGGTGCTGTCCGTTCGACGCGCCGAGGCGGAAGAGGTCACAGCTAAGAGCAGCTTGCCCCAACTGTTGGTGCCGAGCTGAAGGGCGTAGCGGGCTGTTCAAATCGTTTTTGTTCTCTCCCCGACTCCGCTCTGCTGCTTGATCTGGGGGAGAATAAAGCTGCACTCGCAGACTACGTCACATCGGCAGGCACCAAGAACACCACCGGACTTTGGGGTGCAAACCAAAGCGGTATACAAACTCACACGCGCGTACACCATCGCTCACCATTGTGCTGGGTTGTGTGTAGTATGAAAGAAGATGGAGACGCGGGGGCAAGCAGGTAAGGGGCGAGGTAGAGAGGGAGAGGTTTTGATGGGACACAGACTGCCGCAACTGCCGCCCAACGGAGACCTGCGAACAGGAAGATATTATGGATCCTTGCTTCATCACTGCGGGGCCCCCAAAACCGCCACTTTATTTCCTCAACTCCTTCGCCGCCTGAGAGGAATCCTGCACAACAAACAACATAAACTTTCCCCAATACTTTTCCCGCCTTCTCCTTGCTTGAGAGCTGGCGGTGCGTGAGTTGCTTCCCAGTCAGCAGTACACACGGGTGAGGTGATCCGCTCTGCGTTGCTGCATTCACGGACATGGCTCGTTGCAGCAGCAGTGCTCGTCGACGGCCCCAAGTGAGTTGTTTTTAAAAAATTGAAATCGATCCAGAAAAATCCACTCCGTACTCCGGAGTGAACCACCAAAGGCTGTAACAGACGGCGAGAGCAAACCCGAGTCGCCTATGCTGCACGAGAGACAAGCGTCGTGCGTGTTTACAAGTTATGATGCTCGTGCTACTACTGCTGTATATAGACGCGTTGTACTGGGATGTGCCTTCCACTACAGCAGTAAACCCTGCGCCCCTCGCTGTCGCCATGCTCCGCCTCTTGTTAGATTGAACGTTTGAAATCCTCCTCTGGGCCTGTATCCACCTACATATGCACGTGTGTCTGTCCTCCTAGACGTTCGATGGACACAGAGGAGGGCGTACAGAGCGGGGCATCGATGATTCGACAGGGGGGTGCCTGGGGGCATTTCGTGCACGAAATAGTATAGCGCTGCCTCATGGAAGAGGGCTCTCACTCCGCAATCAATCCGCTCGATTGCTGTAAGGACACCGGAGTACCATATCTATTGAGACACGCCCGACATGCCGCTCTTCTTGAGAATCATCAGGACGAGCAACAACACGCCGCGCCAGAGGGCCAGGGTCCACTGCTGTCACCGGTCCTGCGTCGATCGAATGGCGACATGGATGATGGTGGGGTGATCCAACTCCCTACTCTGTTCTCCCACCTCATGAAGCTCGGCAAGGATGAGGTACGACTCTCTGCAAAGGAGAGCACAATGTCTGGTACTTCTAGAAAAAAGTCGATTGAGTAGCGTTATGCCCCCGTGATCCCAGCCCTCCTAGAAATTCCCCAACTGCAAACTGGGGTTTCTACTTCCATACAGTACATCTCGATTGATCCACAACCGAGAGGGCGCCAATAATGCCGAATAGGTCTTAATCTTGTCGATGTCGAGGTTTTCCTAGACCCACATCGTCCGTTTTCCAGGCGCCCTTGACTGCTGTGGAACAATCGAGCTAAGAAAGTCGGTCTATTAAGGGTGTGATCACTCGTACAACTTGCGGTTGTAGCTGCTGGGTATCCATCACCTCTTCTTTTTTTCTTTTTGGCCTCTGAGACTCGCGGCTTGTTGCTTCTCTGGGGGCAAACCCAAGAGCCACCTCTACAAGAGTCTATCCGGGCTTCTTGACCTGATCAGAGACTTTTTTCCTCTTATAAAAGCTAGGCCCAAAATCAACGCTCATAGCTGCCAGATTTCTGGCGTCGTGGTGCTCACTTTTTCACCGACGTTGTTGTATCATTTTCGTATGGCATGTCAACCTGGTTTCACGTTGCGTCGACCAGGGCTTTTCGGGTTGATGGGGGGCGGCGGCCTGTCGAGGCATTCCTGGCTCACTCGGCGAGTTGATATCCTGGGGCGGTGGATGTCTCCATATTCTAACTGTTGACGAATGACTCCGCCGCCTACATAAAAAATCTCTACAGATTCTCTGACTATCAGCCCTCCACGTGTATCCGTCAACCCACCAGGCGGGAGCGGTGGCGGAGGCGGCGGCGTTAGCAGCGACGGCAGGTGGCAAGAGCAACGTATCGCTGCCGCTGCTCCTCACGCCCGCCCCTACAGAGAAGGCCGTGCTGTTCGCGCGAGACTCGGGTAGAGTCCGCGGGTGGATGAAGTCCGCGCTAGAGGACCGTCACATTGACGCCCAGGTTGTGGCCTCCGCCACCACCCTTGCCCTGAGGTGGCTGCAACGTCGGCATATGTACCCGTCGCTGGCGTCGTCCCCCGGCGCCACGAACGGTACAACCGTTAGCAACAACGCCCATCGTCAACGGCGGCGGCAGCCTGCCTCTTCGCAGCAGCAGCAACAGCGGAGGCGGCAGCGACGACGAAGCGGCGGCGGTAGCGAAGGGTTGCCGCCGCTGGAGCTCCTGTCGATGACATGCCTCCACCTTGCCTCCAAGTACCACACCCAGGACTCGGTGCTGGAGGACTTCGGGTCCTGTGTTCATAGGCCCGAGGTCCACGCGCTCGGTAAGAGCACACGTTTTGCTGATGAGCGGTACCTAAGCGTAAGTGTTTGACATTTGACTCGACGGACGCACACAATCGCCTGGTTGTACTCGTAGGCTAGAAACAAACGTTAGTTTCGGCGGCTTCAATATCGCTTGTGGGTTCGCTCCTGTACCATCACAATGTTGCGCATCAAGCAGCAGTGGTAGGTGACTCCCAAGGAGTTGTAGCCTAAGCCTAGCGTAAATATCTCTTGAACTTCACTCCTCCATTAGTCGGAATTCTAGTTGTTAACGTTTTTGACACGATGCTGTCTCGTTGATAATTTGAAGAGTGAGGGGTTCGTTTGGGGTGTCCTCCCTCCCAGGCAAAGAAGGAACAATGCGTTTCAATAGAAGGCAGCAATTACAGCTCTGCCGGTGCCATGCCATCAAGAAAACGTTGGGGGATGAATCATGGATGCCTCGATGCCCTCTCGCTTTCTCAGAGAGGGCGGTAGGTACCCAATACGACCGGGCGGGAGGGCGGGAAACGCGTATCCGAGGCCCAGATGATGTCCGAGATAATGCCCCCGGTAACGTAGTAGAAGGAAGCACTTCCGTGTGTTGCCTCGCAGCTGGCGTCCAATGGTGCGTTCGCCGCGGCAGCGTGTGCGTGGTCGTGTGCACACCTCCCGGCGGTTCGACTCCCTCCCCTCCGCAAGAAAGCAATGCTCGCTCTATCGAAAGCAGGATATCCGCCGTCTTTGCCACACTACTCGTGGACCTGTGGAGCTATTTAGTACAACACTGGGAAATGTCTGGCCCACGGTGCTTAATGTGTTTCGCGTTCAGCTCTAGTATTATTGTAGTTTCGGGCAATTTGATTGACATCTCTACAAAATACGATGGTAAATGTAGGTTCCCATTTTTTTTTTTGGCCACCTCCACACCCCATGCGTGGAGAGTCAATCGTGGTACCTCAACAGACAGGATGATCTCGTGACGAATCAAGTGGAACCATTTTCGACTCTCCTCCCTTCGTTACTACGTGGCGCTGCTGCCGCTGCTGCACAGGATTTGACATCTCGTTGTCAATGGGGGCTGTACTCAACGCCTCCTTCCGCGCCAACGCCGTCAGCCTGCAGACCCTGCTCTGCGCGCTGTCGGGCGAGTCTCCCGTGGTAAAGGCGTGCTCAGAGTGGGTCTCCCTGTGCCTGGTGCTCCTGCTGCACCCCTACGACGTGGACAGCGAGAACGAGACGGGGGCATCACCGCCGCATGGAGAGAGAGTGTTTTCGCCTTCTCTGTCGGCCGCCACCGCCCCTCTCACCCCTGCTCCCGGTGGTCCTGCCGAGACGCCGGGGTCACAAGCGCCGTCGTCATCGGCTTCGGCAACATCGACGCCTTTTACCCCTGCCGGAGCTTCGACAACAACCGCCGCCGCTGTCGCGTGGTCTTTGCGGAACCCGGACGATGGGAAAAGCGTCGCGCCGCCGGCACCGCACCAGCAGCAGCAGCAGCACGGCAAGGCCGGTGATGTCCGCGGTCGGTTCTCGCGAGCCACCGTCCTCGCGCTGGCGTCTCTAGTGCTGGCTCGGCGCCTCGCCCGCGCGGGGGGGGCGTGCCTCCCTCCCCGAGTGCAGGCGACGATGGGCCTGGGAGATGGCGACGCTCTGCTGCTCGTGTCGGAGGGGCTCCGGTTGGCGCGACGGGCGTTCGAGACAGAGCTGTGTGACGATTCGCAACAACAACAACAGCAACACCCCCCAGCTGCTGCTGCTGCTGCTGCTGCCGAGGGGGGGCTCCGCGGAAGGGATTTCCTCGGGGGGGAGGTCCTGCTGGAGAGGAAAGTCGAGGGCCCGGCCACCGGCAGCCACCCGTCCGGAACCACCATCGCGAGGCCTCTGCTCGAGTGGCTCACGGACAGCGATGACGGCCGCGATGCCCCCGAGTTCGCCCAAGGGCTTCCCCTGTCGACCGCGACCGTCTCTTCCTCTTGTTCCCCTCGAGAGAAGAGTCCTTCCCCGAGCCGTGGCAGCGTGGCTCATGATCGTGTTCCTAGCCCGGGAAGAGTTACCGCCAGCGACGGCGCAACCAGGCGCGGCAAACGGGCGCGCAGCTCGGCCTACCACGACGCTCGCGGAGGTAGTGGCGTTCCTCGGGAGGAAGGTGGTCCCGCCGCGCGGAAACGGCAGCGCTTGGGGAGCCCGCCCGGCGGGCCCAGCGGCCGGGTCAGCGGCAGCGCTTCGCCCCGCTCGCGAGCCGCCGACAGGAGTTGCTTCGCCCCGGCGGAAGAGCGGGCCGGGTCTTCTACCGAGGAGTACGCGTCTGCCGCGGACGCGTTCCCTTCTCCGCCCCCATCCACCTCGCCGCCGCCCCATACACCGAGCCAGGACGCCATGGACAGCGACGGCGCAACGCCCCGATCGCCACCATCGTTTTCGGCTGGTGGGGCGAGCTTCGTCAGCGGGGACACCACTCTTTCCGGGGGCCGGCGACCGCGGGGCTGGGGGAGGGTGTTATTCTCCGCACAATCCTCCGACAAGATGTCCGAAGCGACCCAATCTCCACCACGGACGAGAGGACCGCCGGCGGCACCGTCGGCTAGCAGCCCGGAGGAAAGGAACGCGCGGTGGGAAGTTCTAGCAGACCGGGTTCTGGAGGCCTTGGACGACCGCCACGGTGGCGTCGTCGGCGGTAGTAGCTCGGCCGGCGCCGATGGTTGTTGCGGTGGGCTGTCGACACCGGAAGGTGAGGGCCATGGAAGCAGCAGCAGCAGCGGCCCCGCTGCCGAAGTGGCCCCGATCCTTCCCGATCGCTGTCCTCTCCCCCGGACGCTCGCCGGTGACACCGTCAAGTCTTCCCCACCAGGGTCCCCCCCTTTTTCCCCCATCACGCCCCCGGGCCCCCCCACGGTCTTTCACGACTTCGGCGCCCGCGGTGCCCCCGGCGAGCAAGGAGAAGAGGCGTTGACGTCTTCCCGCGTGAGCTCCACCGCAGGTTTCGATGGCGGCGATTGTGGCGGTGGTGGTGGTAGCAGTGATGCGTCGGCAGATAGAACTGGAGGGGTTGGGGCGGCGTCGCTCGCAGCAGCGGCAGCCGCAGCAGGAAGAAGAGGGGCGAGGGCGCAGGGGCTAGGAGTTGTCGCCGCGGGGTGCACAACACTCATGTCGGCCGTGGCGTTGGCGTTTAGAGCAGCATCGTCCTCTACGGCGGCTGAGGCTGAGGCTGACGCTCAGGAGGACTGGTGGTGGTAGTCTTGAGTGCGGCGACGGTTGTTTGTAGTTTACCGCCATTGCTCGCCGAATGTCGATTGGACCCGGAGGAGGGTTGGAGGCTCACGACTACGGGTGGATGCCCGGTTCTAGGAGGATTTCGGTAGTCGGTTTGGACGCTGGGAAAACACCACGCAAGACGTGTCGCGTTTTTTTTTTGCAAAACCCGTTGAGCCACGCGTTATCTGTTGTGCGTTATTGACAGTTTGCAAGAAGAAAGGCACTGTGAGCTGGGGAAACGATTCGCAGCGACAAGTGCGACCGGCCACCGAGTTGCAAGTGCCAATGCGAGAGTGCACGTCGCCGCCAAACGTCTTGACCCGCAGCGGAACATGAGTGCGTGTGCATTTTTTACGACACGCTGCACTGCGATACCTACGACCGTTGGAGGAGGAGTGGTGGGCTGTGACTCGATCGACTGTTCTCTTGTCGATGAAGGGTGACTCGATGACGGGGGCTAGGCTACTTTTCGTGCTGAAAAAGCGAAACGGCCGGGGGGACTTTTGTCGCCGGGGGGGAGGGAGTTGGGGGAAGAGTTACACAGGGAACATATTGAAGGCAGGTTCGAGGGATCTTTGACCCCGCAATGCGAGAAAAACGCACGCGCCTTCAAGAGCGCGGGTGGACCAGTAGAAGAGTAGTAGTGCCGTTAGGAAGAGCAACACCATCCGTGATGCGTTCAGAACCAAGGGGCCACGAAGGGGGTCGGGTGAGACTCAGGCATGGCATAGTCTAGGGGGACTTGGAGGGTTAGAATCTTGTGGGTAGGGCTACGGCTAGGATAGCGCGGATGACCTTTTGCAGCACTATAGTCTAGAAAAAACAGCGGCAGCACCCGAAACATGTTCGTTTCACGCGCTTTACCACACGTGTAAATATAGACGATATAGTCCCCTCTTGCTACTGCTGCTGTACGATTGTTATGTGGATGAACGCGTAATAATATATGGTGTACTGTAGAGAGAAATAGATAGGTGGCTGAGGTCCTGTGCGTGATGAAGGCGTTTTTGCGGAGGGGGGGCAACCGCCACCTCTGCTTTTGAGGGGCGTTGTTGGACGTTTGTTTTGTGCATTTGCTTGGCGGCGTTGGGTCCTCACATGATCTTTTTGGTACGGTTGCCTTGAGATGGGCTGTCGCCTGTTTCGTTGTTGTTGCCTGGATTGCATTTTCACGTGGTTTCATCTGTGTTGTAGCGAGCGCTATTATTTTCATTTTGGGTGCGCAGACTGTTTTCCGGTAGCGAAATGCGCTCGATGGCGGGGGGAAGAGTTGCTTGGAGAAACTCACATTCCTACGCTTCTTCGCGGCGTCTGGAGACCGCAATATGCATCCAGAACCATTAGGTGTGATATGCGGGCGAACATATGCCGGGGTACGTGGCATGTATGTGTGCTAGTTTCGCAATGGACACGGGGAGGGGTGGAGGCAAGGGTCCTGGTGGTGGCCTGGGGGGGGGGGAGGGGGGGGGGG